TTAATCAACCCATAAGATCAGATGGCTCAGGGGACTGCAAATATGGTGTTGATAGCGTTGAGAATTTCTCAACATGAGTCTGTCATGACAGAAGTGCCTCAGGTCGCACAACTGAGGAATTGAAACTATTCGAAACTAACAGCAAGACGCGTGATGTAGGTCGGTCTTTGAAGCTTGGGACGGGAATTTCGGGGAGGGTTCGCTGAAGGCTCACGGAAGGGTCACGGAAACCACAGTGCAATTTTCAGGCCCATGGGCCGCGTGAAGCGTTGCAACATGTTGCAACTGCAAAAGGCTGTCAGCAGAAAACGCCAGCAGCTCCTTGCCTTGATGCCTCAGGGGGACGACAGATGTCTTACTCCCTCACGTCGAGCAGAAGGTCATCCTCATCCTAGGTCTGTGGAAGCAATAATTTGCAAGAAAAAAAAGACTCTGGGCCGTAGAATTCGCGCAAGGGTTTCGCGCAGGGGTTTCGCATTAAAAGTGTTTTTTTTGAATAGAGCGACAGCCACTGCGAAATTATTCTGAGATTGTGGTCGTTGGGCATGATGTGGAATTGATCCTGGCATGAGTTGCTGCTTAAGTCTGTTGACAGCATGTTCAAGGTCCGTATCCTCGCAGCACCGTGCATCATAGTACCATCTCTGCACATCTATGCTCTCATGCACTTCATTCACTCGCGCACTCTACAACTTTCGCACCTGCACAGAGAGTGCACTGACAGGGTGTGCGAGCGTGTCTGAGCAGCACTCCGCCCGCCAAGCAGGGTGATCCAGCATCAGCAGCTGTTCCCGCAATCATTCTGTCTGCTCAGCCCGTTCCGCTGTCCAATTAGGGCTCGTCAAGCGCCACAGATAATACCATGCTTCTACTCCGCAATTCAGGTATGCATGTTTTATCCATCTCTAGATATCTATAAACACATGCATACTTTTACTTTTTGGTCGGTCGTGTGTCTGGGTTGGAGCTGGTGTTATTTGCAGCTCTAGACACGCAACGTACTTTGAAAGGTAAATTGGGAGGGAGGGTCCAGCTGTCGCGGCTTGGGTCCAAGAAATGTGACTACGGCTGCAGGCCCCCCACCCAACACAGTTTTCCTAGTCTTTGGAAGATGTGCTCATTTGTTTCCTCTGCCCATCACATGGTCCCAGCAGCTGCTTGTTGGGAAGGGCTTTTCTAAACAGAAGACACGTCGTGCACTTCATCGACGGAACCGGGGTCTACAGCATAGGCACTCATTTGCATGAGTGTTATCATTAAACCATTTCGCGAGCATGTGCCCAGGCACGCCAAAGGAAGAAGACACACTGGCCACCGCCGAAGTTGCTCGGGCAATGGGGCTGCCGCGACATGTATGTTGATGTAAGTTGCCTATTCTCATCCCCCACGGGCCGTTTGAGGTACCGTGAGTACAGGTTATGTTGTTGAACATGCCATTGTGATTTGGTCGCTACGGTGAATGCCCCCTCGCCCCAGGCCAAACCTTCCAAATGACCAGAACATTTAGAAAAACGATCGACGTCAATTTTCGGGAGGCGCGTTCCGGGCCTTACAGGGGGTTGGAGTTACTCCCCAGTTGGGGTCCGTAGATCATAGATCTAGATGCCCCAGGCCTTCGGCCTCGGTGGATTTTTGGCAATCAATCACTTAGTTTACAGCCTTTTCTGCCCCTTTCATCCCATTCCCCAGGCATGGGCGATAGGTTAGTGATGCGAAGTGAATCCAGGTTGTCTGCATGGAGTGTTAGCTCCTCTTTGCTGCATCCTGCTGAGCTTGGGAACGGCTTCAGATTGGGCTCGCGTGCCGCTGGACAATTGCACCCCCAGAAATCATACTGCACCTCAGATGTCAATCCTGCATGAGCGAGCACGTGGCAAGACCGACATTTTCTCCAAGCTGCTTTGCAGTCGCATAACTTCTTCAACATGCTTCAGCAGAAAGATTGCAACGGAACGAGAAGGACTACATGATGTGAAAAACAATTTGAGCAAGCCAAAGCGTCAAGCGTCCGGTTTAGCATGATCTTGGGGTCTGATCGTGCAGGGGCACTTTTCATCAAATCCTAATGTGCGTGTTGGTGACCTTGGCCAGAAGAGCCCCCGAAATTCAGAGGAATGCGGCGGTAGGGCTTTATGCCATCAATGTTCGGAAGCGGTGAAGGTCTTCAAAAAGTGAGGCGTGGAACGACCACAGCAAACTTCAGGGCTTCCTCTACAGCCCCCACAGTTGTTCTGGTACAACATCCAACTGGCAGTTTCAACTTTCAACATACCCAAGGTTGACTTCTTCAGTTCGATGGGCAAAGAGCGCTCGCTTGAGACTCAAGGCAGTAGGCAAGGCGTGATCCGACCTGTCATGACTTGTGTGGAAAGCTGAGGAAAGAGGAGAAATTAAAGCCAGATCCTGACAAAGCGAAGGCAAGGTGCGGTGCGCAGCAGAAATCCTGTGCTTTTCTTGCTGCCAAATTCGCCGCTCAGCTGGTTTGCTGTCCCTTCAGCAGGTCAGCGAGAAGGAGTACAATCCTTTCCTTCGAGGGGAAGAGTCCAACCTACCTGCTGGTTTCTGAGCTCTCAGCATTCATTAATTTTTCCCGCCAAGAGATCCGAAAGCCGAGCAAAGCTGTGCCTCAGAGGTTCCACAGTCTGCAAGTGCCAGCTCCATCCCCAAGCATCTGTGCCCGGTCCTGAGCGGAGATGTACGTACACTGCAGGCCATTGTGAATGCCACGTGCATTCATGCTCATGCAGGTGTTGGGACTCCGTGGGCGGCGAAAAATGATTGGAGAAAGCGAATGCAGAACCGGAAGGCTGCATGCTTGCCTTGCTGCTGTATGCAGTTTTGTGACCCTGCATCTCCCGCAAAGGATTCCAATGTGGGCAACGACGCAGAACGGCAGAAGGCCAGCCTGAAGCAACTACGCATGTCAGCTCAAGAGCTTTGCGTCTCCCCATACAGGAAGCATCTCGACCTCCACGTGCGGACCCCACGACTGCGTGCCAGCTTGACCAGAGGAGCGCTTATCTCTGAACTGGGTGAAGGTCGATCGGGTGAAGATGACGATAGTCTGCGGCCTCCAGGTGGGCGGCAGCCTGAGAATGCCTGTCAAAGTGTCAGTTCCGCCTCCGCCTTTTGATGCTCACATCGGCCATAGCATTCGATCGTAACCTTCCTCGGCATGTCTAGGCTTAAGCGAGCTTGAGCAGCATCAAGGGTTGCACAGCCTGCCTGGGACCTTGGAGAGGTCTTTCAGGGCACTCCAGAAAGTTTCCCGAAGTTTCCGTTGTCATTTCCCCAGTTTTTGCAACCCCTCCGGAGGCTGCGAGACGCTGTCAGACGTCTCCGCTCCAGAATCTTCATTATCCCCTCTTCTGCTCTGGTTTCCAAACAATGTCTCCCAGCCGCAAAAATGCCAAAGACTCCCGCACGTCCTTCCGCCAGCAGGTTGCTGTCTAAGAACCGTGCAGGACCTTAAAGCCACACTCAAAATCTCAATTTTTCACCGCCCAACGGATAAGACTTCTCCAGACGATCAGAGGCAAATGGCCTCAGCGTTGATATCTTTGTGGTTCTCTGCAGAAGTGCGGCGACCAAGGCCTAACCGGGGTGGTCCGAGTGGTGGCGGATGGCGTGCCAAGCTTGCAGAATGCTGAGATTTTCCAAACCTGGAAATTTCAGGAGACCTCAGAAGAGGCAGCACGGGCCGATGATTGCGAGCAGCTTTGTGAGCAAGCACAATTTTAGATCTTTTGAGGCTCGGAGGCGCAGCCCAAGTCGGTCGCCGCGCTCGCCTCGCGCTCGCAGTCATAGCCGGGGCCAAGACAGAGATCGGCGGCGCCGCAGGTCGCGATCGAGGCCTCTGCCTTTGTCCAAGTTGATACTTTTTTTGAGTCTTCAATGTTTCAGGTCTCGCTCGTGATGCCCTCAGATTTCTGGTTTTGGGCTGCACATGGTCCAGAGCTCTGGCGTGTAGGTCTTCCAGCTCCAGGAATGCAGAGCGGAAGAAGGAGCAGGTGCGAGTACGCATGGGGAACGAGCATCAGCAATGTCCATAAGATCGTGGCCTTTCAGGTAGCAAAGGCCGTGCTCAGCCGAGTGAAGGCTTCTGAGGCTCAGGTTGAGGAGGCTGAGGAGGATGCAGACGAGGCCCGTTCTCACCATTCATGCTGAAGTAGGGTAGCATGTGTTGCTGCCAGATCATTCGCAAGCTGCAGTGAGGAGCTTAGCTGCAGCCTGTGACCTGCTGATGTTATGTGCAAGCAGTCAAGTTCTGGGTGGCGTTTGCACAAGGTCAAAGTACAGTAAAGCTTCGGCAAAGCCAGAGGGCAGCGAGTCAACTTCAAAGGTTGCAGAGGAACGTCCTTGGTTCTCGATTGCCATGACAAGGGCTGCAGACTGACTTGTTTGTAAGGATGTTGAGGAGGATGTGGATCCAAACAAGCTGGGTGCTTTGGCGATGGAGGCCATGTTGAGCTTCTTAGCTAGTAACAGATACAATGAACACAGGCTTTGCCCCGTTCCGCCTCGAATTAAGGTGGAGACATGGCACGGTACGAAGAGCTGAACCGTCGTCTGGAAAAGCATCAGGCTGCAGGCCGAAGCCTTGCTGTCTCTTTCGCGGAGGACTCAGAAAACTACTCAGAAAGCTAAGGTGAGCAGACCAGCAAGGCGTTCACCTTACCTCCACCTGACGAGTCAACTGACAACGTCAAGGCAGCGCCCTTGTCGTTAGATTGGCTTACTGTAGATTGCAAATGCTTGCAACAGATCAGGGTCCAACATCGCACGGCATGTCGGCCCTCTTGAAGGTCCTTGAGCAGGTGGACGCAGCAGGGCGCAGCAAGAAGTTGGTTGAGTCAGCAGGGCAGCCCAGCCAGTGAGTGCTGGACTTGCTTGTCTGCATGCAGCCCTCGCTTTCTCTCAGGTCCAATCCACTTCCGTACACACAAAAGGCAGGAACAAACGAGGCCTCCGAAAGTAATGAGCTGCAGAGGGCAATTCCGAACGCCGAGCTGGAATGTCCCCTTCTGATCCAGGCACTGCCAACGCCGTTCCTGGTGGCAAGGATAAGAAAGGCTCGCAAGGCTTGCGGCCCTTAGCAACAGCTTATTCGCAGCTGCTAAATCCAGTACCTGAGGCTACTACGAGGATGATGACGTGTCTTTGGAAGAGTTGATTCGCCGTGAGCGAATCGAAGGGGTCCAGGCATGATGCGGCAATTGTGGCCATGAACCAGTTGGGTATTGCCTGCCCGGATGTCAACAGGACTATGATGCTAATTTCGAGAAGCACATCTTGAAAAGGGGCGACCGCTTCAAGATGTTAGAAGAGGATGAGGATGAGGTGAGGATGACAGGGTGGCTGTGTTGAGAACCTCACTGGTAGACATTTTACCATGTAGTGGAACCTGAGTGGTGCTCTTGCCCGCAGGCGTACGCTTTGGGCTGGTATGAGAATGCAGACAAGAAGATGGACTCCAGGCCTTGCCTTTCTGTCAACGTCAACCGTGCCAAAATGAGCCTGACAGGAAAGGTGCAGAGAAGCGATTAAAGCAGGAGAAAAACGACAAAAATCGCATCCAGGCAAATGACCAAGCCAGTGAGAAGTCAGGTGGTGTATTGAAGTGCCTGGCAAGGTCAATCTTGAAAGATGTAACCTTTGTATGGAAAGTGCGGCCTTCAGACCCAAGTGCTAAGATTGCAGAATGCAGCGCGATGCAGAATTTGATGCCTAGCACCAACAGCCATGTGTGTTTAGGCAAGAAGTTCTTCCGCAAAGACGCTGTCATGTCTGTCTCGCCTCATGCGTCCGACCCCGGGAAGATGGCAATTGATTTTGGACTGGTCAAGCCGCAGCCGCATGTGCTTCAGGTACCTGTGCGTGGAAACGCAAAACCGATCTATTGTTCCTGGCCAGGTGCCAGCAACAAGCATGTGGTTTCACTTTGCTTGCATGTTGCGCCACCTGTTTGTTGAAATTGCCCGTAAGGTGCTCATAGTGCCGCAAGAACATGTGATGGCCATGACGGATGTCGATGAGGCATGAGCTGCCAGCGAGCCCTTGAGCCAAAGGGGCAGAACGTTGCTCTGAGCCCCTTGTCACTCAGGCGGCATGGGTTCCAGACTCAGTGGAATGCACTCCACAGTCACGAAAGCTTGTAAAGTGAATCGATGTAACTTTTTGAGGCTGATATTCGAAACTACCAGAAGTGTCTCATTGCGTTCTACGAGGCTGAGGCCATCTTTGTGTAAGCAGTCCGGACAACTTGTGATCACTTACGTAGCCGAAGCTTGCACGCAGCAACCGCCTCGTGCTGTTCTTTTCGTGGAGTCCTCTGTCCACCGCGTCTCGCGGGACAAGGTGGGCAGAGAAAGCTTGCAGTGCAACATCTTATGCTGCACTTTGGAAGCTGAGGCTCTACTTGGAGCAGGCCCCCACTGCTGCATTGTGGCCTACCCTATCGAGATCCTTACTCAGCATTCTTGATGGCACAGAGCAGTAGCAGCTTTGTGGAAGAGGCGTACAAGAGGTAGAAGTGCCAAGGATGGGCCTCTTGGTGCAAGCAAGGACTTACTGGAAGAAGGCCAAGCGACATCAGGACATCCTGAGCTCACATGGAATCTGCTTGAGCAAAGGCCCTCGATGAGGCCGAGAATGAGTTTGAAACCACCCACGCAAAGGCCGATCTTTCCACCAGCTTGCACCATCTTGCACCCTTAGAAGTATAGTGATTGCATGTGATTGCAGATTGCGCTCGTCCTTCGTGTTCTCGAAGATCGGCAGGTTATTGACACCGACTCCAAGGGTGGCGTAAGAAGCGCCGTCCCGAAGGGCTTTCCGTGCCCCGCTGAAACCCCAGCGCAAGCATCAGCAAGTGCTCGTTGCAGAAGCACGAGGTATGTTCACGTCGACTTTAGTCTTGGCGGTGGTTTTGCCCATGTCATCGACAATGTCGCTGAGTTTCCTCGTGAGTTTGCTCAGCACGTTATTGCGGGCATGTACCTTGGTCTGCACAATCATGCGCATAGCATGCTACTGTAGAACAGAAAACAGGCTCTACATTCCTTGCTCGAAGGTGCGAGCTAACCATCCTTGACCGTGCCTACACGTGCAAGGAAGAGTGCCCCACTTGGAATGTGGAAGCGTCTGGGAGTACGACCAAGGCAATCGTCATCCCCCAGGTACAGGGATGCTTGCAAGGATCTCAAGGACCGCTTCGCTGCAGACTTTGACTGGACAAAGGCTGGAACAAAGAACCACAGCGGTGTGCGACTGAAGCAAGCAGCTGGAGGCTCTTCAAGCTTGACCTCCGCGTCATCGATCTGCGACGTTATCTTGGGGTGGGGCAGAGGGCCCTGCCGCAGAGCGTTTGCCATGCTTGCAAAAGAGTCCAACCCTTGCTCTGGATATCTCTGCAGGTTTGTGGTGCCTTTGTGGTGTCTCGCATTTGTGAATCGATCACGGCCTGGCCCTGTTGCCATGTGTAGCATTTTGCGCAGGACCTTCAACAACTCGGCGTCTCCATCTTTGACAGGACACTGTTCTCGCCACAACGGTCTGTATGCGTTTTTGGGCTTTTCAAACTGCATAGGTTCTTTCCTTGCGATTCTGACCAATAGTGTACTCCGATCCCTCTTGACATGCCCACCCAAGTAACAGATCTCCACAATTGGCATTCTGTATGTTTTAGGCTTCCGAAAACGCATTCTGGCCACTTTGTCTGGTGCTGACCAAAAGTATACCCCGATATGCGTATTCCTAGCTTCCCAGAGCGCCTTCCAAAAGCCCAAGCAACCGATGGCTACCATTTGCTGTATGCCCTTTTCGGGCTTCCCAAAACGCATTTGGGTTCTTTGCGGTTCAGACTGGTAGTATACAGTATACCCTGATCGCTCTCGATATGCCCAATACCCCTTTGTAAACGAATGGCTACCATGCACAGTATGCGATTGTTGGGCTTCCCAAAACGTGTGCCCGTTGATTGTATGTGCGGCACATTTTTAGTAGCCAAATACCTGCCAGCAGAAACAGTGTTAGAAATGCATTGCGAGAGCTTGTCAACATGCGTTTAAAGGGTTTACGTACTCTGACTACCGGTGGGATCACAATTACAGGACCGGAGAACCCCACATGTAGTTCAACCTTAATCTATGTGTAATGATATTAGGATACGGTCGCCCGCCGAAATAAGAAGATATGTTCGAAGAGGAGGTGAGAAGACGAAACGATCGTTCTAAGCGATGCGAGGAGCTGTCGACGCGAACGCGAAGAAAACACATGTTTTCATTTTAGGACACATGATCACCATCCCGCTCTCGACTCGAACATGGTGCGTCGTGTAGACCTGAGTCAGGTTTAAACACGTGTACACTAAGACTGAATCGCGGACAGCATGCCAAGCTCACACCCTGCACCCTCACAATAGGCACAGATGCCGGGAAACCGCCGTTCGATTAGGCAAGTCTCACTTTGTATACCTTGCTGTGTCGTTTCTGCACTGTTAAGTTATCCTTCTTGTTCGGGAACCACTTCGTGGTCTCGATGAATTGGATGTCAATCAAGCTCATGGCAGGTCCACAGGCTAGCAACGACACAAAGAGACTGGCATCCACTCGAGCAAGAAGATCAAGCAAAACAACAAATTCAATTGCAAATGCACATCCAAGCAAGCACAGCGAAGGACCGTTTCGAGAGCAGGAGCCTGAATCTGCACACCTTTTGGGTGCCGGCGCGTGTCTTATGAGCACAGAGCAGCAGCTTTTTCTTCCTTTCGAGAACGGACAGGCAAACCCAAACCGGTCAGCGCTGGGCGGGAGAAGCTCCCGATCATTAGGCCGCATCGCCAGAAGAGCACCCCAGATAAGCCCCCATGACATTTGCTGCCAGTCTGCCGCAGCTCCCCATCCCGGGTCGCATGTCGCCAAATTGAACGGCCGTCAGGACTCTTCGCAGAGGAAGCACTGCAGAGATCGCACTTGCAGTGGACGAAAAAGAATGACAGAATGATCAGCCGACAACACGTAATCACGCTACCACTTTCTGAGCAATCTCCGACCTTCCAAAATGCCCTTCTTCTGGACCGCAGCCATCCATAAAGCATGAGCCTCCAGTAGAGCGCGCAGAGGCCAGGAAGACACCCGCGGGTGATGAGGAATGCCGACCGTCTTGAATGTGAACAACGGACTAATCTCATCTGGAGCCCCGAACTTCAAAAGTGCCGACACCACGCCATTTTTCCCGCTGTAGCAGCCCTCGACCAACCGCAACTGACGGCTCCACTTCTGGAAGCTGAACACATGAAAAGCCTTGCCTTTCAGCGTCAGAGTCCGCAAGACATCCAAGTATTCTTTCATAGGGCCGAAATCAAAGTCAAAAGTCTCCGTCGATTCTCTTCTCTCCATCTACAACAACACAGCCTGCAAGCTGTGACGTCTGCTTGACCCTCTCGCGGCACGCAAAAATGCTAACTCCACGTACTCACGAAGAGTCCAGTGTTCGAGAACATCTGGCAGATTAGCCTCTTCCACACCTGGACGCTGAGCAAAAATGGAGCAGCCGTCTGATTCGAAGATGTCCTTCAGCCCCTCCAAGTTGCCGCTCAGGGCCGCCGAAGCCACCGCAACGTTGCGACCTTGATCGTCTGCCCCAAACGACCAGACGTCAGAAAAACATCAGCGGTCGTCGCCCCCCGCCTGGGCGCACACATTCCGCCACGGAACTGCCAATACCGGAACTGAAGAAGAAGAAGAAGGCTGCTTCACCGCCGCAGAAGCCCTTAGCGTGGAAAGCAAGTCGTCGTGCTCGTGAGCTTCCTCGGCCCACCACAACGCCGACTTCAGCGGCTCGCAGGGAGTGCCGCGAGACGTGTCCGCTGCTCAATCCAGCCAAGCTCGCGCAAAGACGTGAGGCGCTTGAAGGCAGGCACTTTCCTGGAAGCTTTGGCTGATTCAAAATCTTCGGATGCAAGAGACTTATCAGCAGCCGGTAGAAAAGCGTCCGCTTCCATCTGAGTATAGGGTGGAGCGCTGGGATATGATTCGCAGCTTTGTTGCTTTGATCTGAATTTCAGCGCGCCTGGGTCCGTAGAATGCTATGCATGGTCAGCATGCCTGCTGTTGCAATCATCATCAAGACGATGGCGCAAGTGAAGCTCTCGTTGATGATCGCCTCGATTTGGTTGGACATCCTTCAACCAGGATTCAACCAGGATTGGAAGGAGATAGCTATCAGCCCTCGGTGCATAATCGTTCTTCAAAGAAAAGGGTTCTTCTAAAAATCCGAGCCAGGGGCTCCTGGTGTAGCCCTCTTAGTTTTCCGGTTCCAAAGTTCGATTTGCATCGTGGATAAGGCACTTAATAGTGCGCCTGCTTTTTTGTCGGCGCCACAATGGAACGATATTAGTAGTGTCTTGACCATCCGGTTGATGTCACGATTCCAGCTATCCATTTCCATTACAGATGTTGTGGACATGGCTTTTCAGCCCTGCGTGATATGGCCTCGACTTCATACCAGTGAGTCCGTGCCTGGGCTCCTTACGCATTTCACCAGCTGACCAGAAGGAGTACGGTCTCTTGAAGAATGCCAGGATCCGACAAAGCCGGGCTGTGCTTCCAGCCAGTATGACTTGATGGTGCATACGTTTGCATATGTTTGCTCCACTACCCAAGAAGAGGTGTTCAATCTACTGCAAAAAGCTAAAGCCCGGCAGAAGTGAACAAGCTTGATGCTCATGTTGCTCATGTGTGTATGCTTTGACCCGATGAACATGTCCATGGCTGCTTTGTTTTTTTGGAGAGAGACTTAGAGGATCTCAGAAGCAAATGGGTTTCCCGAATCAGCAGCGTGGGCTCGAGAAGCTCAGGCCGGCACTCAACTGTCAAAATATGGCGGGTGCAGGCATGGGTTTCCCGAGCCACATAAAAGAGGAGCAAATGCTTCTTCTTTTGCTAGTGATTGTCTGTTACTATCATTTTTATTATGAAAATCATGATCACTACCATTGGCGCCACAGACACGACGGCCCGCACCATTACTTTTGCTGGTATTGTTCTTATCACTACTGCTATTATGTATTTATTAAGAATAATACTATTGTTGTTACTGTTGTCATTTTTAAATTACCATTTCTACTCATACTAGTACAATTGCTGTCCAGATTTTCGTTCATGTTACTATTACTGTTGCTCCCGATATTATTCCTCTTACTGCTAGTTTGCAGGGCCTGACGGCAAGTGCCGGCCTGGCCGCCGCCAGCCATTGCCATTGTGAAAACGAAGCCTAGCCCAGCCCCTAATCGTGAGAAGTGTACGAAAAAACGATGTTCTTGCTACTTGGGATGGGCCTTTAGCTTTGGAAGGTTTTGTTCACAATGGGGTCCCAACTGTGCTGATGATGCTGGCGTACCGGCGCGCGCGTGTGCCCCCGTACGCCAGTATCATCAGCCCGCATGTACATTTTCTTGCTCACCAGAAGCAACATTTTAACGTATTTGCAGCAAAATCATAGCTTGGGAGCCACAACAGTGCTGGAAATGTTGGCAAAACACATCAAACAACATGCAACATGCATAGTTTATAGTAGGGTTTTGTCTGGGCAATGCATGCAAAGCCTTTCGCATGCTTGTCATGCAGTGCAGGTTTACAGCCACAAACACTGCCCACAGCGCGCATTTTGAGCGTTTGCTGGGGCTTATGGCGTTCTTCAAGGGCCCTGCAGCCCCCCAGAGCCAGCATCATGAGCATAATGGGGTCTGTTTGGGCCTCCAATTTCCTTCTTGACACCACACATAGGAGGCCCCAACACCCCTCCAAAATCCTAGTTTTGTTGAGGTGTCCAAAAGCGAGAAACAAAGGCCCAACTGTGCTGATGATGTTGGCCCCCCCAAAATGCCTCAAACCCTCCGTATTTTGGGGGGGAAGTCTCAAAAAACACATCCAACCATCACCTCAATTTTCGATACCCAAAAGCATGGTTCCAGGGTTTTTAATGGGTGGGTCGGCGGACCGGGCTGCACCCCCATAAAGCATAGCTTTAGCCTTTAGCTAGGCATGCATCCGCACTGGATCATGATGGCCAGGCCGGATTACTGCTATTTCGGGCCTGGCGGCACAGGCCGGCCTGGCCGTCCCCCTTCCAAAACCCAGCCATCATCTGCTAACGAAGCCCACCCTGGCCCTGCTGATGCTCCTGCTCGGGAGAAACGCACGAAAAAACTGCTAGTTGGTTTGGAAGTTCTTGTTCTCGCTAGTTCAACTCAAAACGGCCCATTTTGGCTTGATTAGGACCAGGAGAGACCAAGAAAAGCAATCAAAAACGCCATTGAACACGGTTCTCTGCGCAGGCTGACCATGTTCTAGCCCACAAGCACATCTTTTACAAATAAGAAGCAACATCTAACGCATTTGATAAGCATAAGGGGATGCAAAATCCTAGCTCAGGAGCCACAAGAATGCAGGAAATACGAGCAAAACACCACGTAAAAAACATGCAATATGAACAGTTTGTAGGGTTTGGCCTGGGCAATGCATGCCAAGCCTTTCGCATGCTTGTCATGCAGTGCAGGTTTACAGCCACAAACACTGCCCACAGCGCGCATTTTGAGCGTTTGCTGGGGCTTATGGCGTTCTTCAAGGGCCCTGCAGCCCCCAAGAGCCAGCATCATGAGCATAATGGGGTCTGTTTGGGCCTCCAATTTCCTTCTTGACACCACACATAGGAGGCCCCAACACCCCTCCAAAATCCTAGTTTTGTTGAGGTGTCCAAAAGCGAGAAACAAAGGCCCAACTGTGCTGATGATGTTGGCCCCCCCAAAATGCCTCAAACCCTCCGTATTTTGGGGGGGAAGTACCCAAAAGCATGGTTCCAGGGTTTTTAATGGGTGGGTCGGCGGACCGGGCTGCACCCCCATAAAGCAAAGCTTTAGCTAGGCATGCATCTGCACTGGACCATGACGGCCAGGCCGGACTTTAAGAGCCTCCGGCTTAGTGCGCCGACACTGCGCCGACCCAGAGGCGGAGAAGTGGCGAACGCGGCGACGGCGTTAATCCAAGCCCTAAACCTCTCAACCCTAAAGCCTAAGCTTAAACCCGAAACCCTAAACCTTGCTAAACAAAAAAAGCAAAATCTTGATGTTTTCGGTGGCTGGGCACGAGACCAATCGGCGCAACGAGAGTAATTCAAGCCAGCCTGCCGGGACTCTGCAGCGCCTTTTAGGTACTTTCTCTTATTCTGAGTTCTTCTTTTCATGATATGAAAATATATGAAAATGTGTTCTTGCGCGGAGCGTCCTCACAGTTTTGCTCAAAATCAAGCTCTGGCGTGCATGCTGTGGGCGGGCAGCGCCCGCACACTTTGCGCCGAAATTGAGCTTTCGCGTGCAGCGTCCTCGCACAAGCTCTGGCGTGGAGCGTCGTCCGAAAAGGAAAACAAGGAAGGGAACCAAAAAAAACAAACAAAAAAGGAAGAAAAGACTCCACCCGCTTGCTTTCGGGGCCCACAAGTCCGTCATGACAATTCCCAGTGAGAGCAGAAAGAGGTAAACTTTGCAAACCAAGCACGGCTATGCACGGCTCATCCTGAAAGCGGGATCCCCTTGAAAGAGCCATGTTTTGTTCGTCGCTGAAGTACATGTCTGGCAACGAGAAGTCATAAAACAATTGAGCATATTTGAACCAGCAAAATCCTGTCCTTCCAGCCGGCCTTAACCCTCGAGAGCCCGTGAGTAGCATGGATGATTGGAAGAGTGGTTTTCTATTCGCTTGTGCAAATCCAGTTGTGTTGGACAACACGCGCCCATCGAGCGAGGAGCGTGACGGCTGCACGGCATTTTGGGGAGATGTCTTTTACAAGCGTGTGATTTCTGAGAGCCCTCTAGGGGCCGCCATGTGGGAATAAATTTAACGGGCTCGCGAAAGTGTTACATGATTGTGTCACCTTAGTGAAGCCTTCTGAACGCGGAGAATTCCCCAGGAGTCCGGGCCACGGGATCGCATTCCTCGTTGCTATTGGCATCATTCGTGACTTCCCGGTGGAGATCAACAACTTTCTTGTAAGGTCGGCGTGGGTTTGCATCGTGCTCAGGATAAGATTGTAAGAGCATCTTTCTTGTGCATGACAAGGTTAAATGCTGATCGAGAGAAGTTTGGTGACAACCTCAGAGACCGAAGTACCTCGCCCATGCACTCTCGATCTGGATTGTATGCTTCTACATCAAATGGCAGGTGATTATCTCAGTGAAGACTATCCTACTGTGGCCTTCTTGGAAAACAGCAGAAGCAGATTTTAATGATCTTTGCGTGGTATGTTCTTCTAGCGAGGCGCAGACCTTGCGCTTGGAGTGGGCCTGCTTGATTGTAGAAGTGCACCCCAGAAATTCACCGTGAAAGATGCTGGTATGATTCGAGAAATGTCTACTGCGCGCTCCGCCCCCTTTTTTAGATGCATACAGGCTTCGCCTGTCAACAAGTACAGCTAAGTGGATTTGCCGTCGCAATTTGTGATGCCTTTAGTTGAACTTTGACATGCCAGGTTCTTGAATTCGTTGCCGCTTCTGGGAACTGGAGCAGTGTTCCCATCCGAAGGCAAGCTTGGTTGATTTGACAACTTCTTCCAAGCTTTGCCAAGGTTCTGTCAGCTTTGCAAAGTGTTTCGCACGATTTGACTCTCCCTCGTGACTGGATCAAGGTGCCCTGCAGAGTTCTGGTTCTGAAGTTGCCTCCGTCATTCTCGCTTTGTCAGGTGGACCGGCTTCTGCGTGGTGTTGCGCACTTCTGGTGGAAACAGCATGAGGAGTCTACTCTGTTAAGCAACGACTGCACTAAAAGGTAGTCTTTGGGATGCACACGCATTCCTTTGACTTGGGTATTAATCTTGCAGGAGGAGGTCAATGAGCGCAGAAACGAGGTGCGCTGCTTGCCTGGATAGACGAAAGACTTGGGTTTAGAGCTAAGGGTGGAGCTAGCTCTCTGCGTGATACGCCAGATGACTCAGGCGCGCTTGCCTGTCCCCTTGCAAATGCAAGCCGCAAAAAGTTAGATGCAAGCAGCCGTGCTCCGCAGCAGAGCAATAGCAAGCAATGATAAAGGTGAGCTGATCGGGCTGGACCTGCAGCGGGCGCTGCTTGGGACAGAAGGTTTCCACAGGCTGGGACCTTGGAAGCCACAGCAGCTTGTGATTCCTGCCGGTGCAGGCTTCTGTTCTCAACTCTGATGCTCCACAGGTGCATTGCTGCTACGTGCAACTCTACTCGAAGCAACTAGCACTTTGGCTGCTAGCCTTTGTCAGCTGAAAGGTGGTTGGCTGATGGGCATGAGATGCCTCTGAACACCTGGGTGCAACTGAACGCTGGCATCGAGGCGGGAGAGTACGGGAGCACAGGTACAACGTCACCCCCCCCAGCAAGTAGTTTGGGCCAGGGAGCTGGGAATGACTTCCCATTTCACGTGCAGATGGCCATCTACAAGGTACCAAAACTTGTCAGCAAGTTGGGAATGAGATGAAACCCAGACTGTTCGACGAGCTTCCTGTAACCATGACGTAGGCGGTCTCATCTGGCGAGCTGAAGCTGCAAGCGGTGGCCACAGTTCTTGTTTTGCTTGAAGGCCCCAAATGCATGTTCAGTGACCCTGTTCAGATTGTTCAGGTAGGCCGAACAGTTGCACCTGTCAAGCCTCCAATACCATCCTTGCGGGGTCGGGTTTGGTGCTCAGCTTGGGCAGAGGTGCATTATGGTGCAGCAGCTTCTCTCCAAACCTTAACCGATCTGGTCTAGGCCTTCGTGCGCTACAACGGCCGGCCTCAGACGGATGGTGACCTAGCACATTGGCCGCAGGCCAGCAAAGCAAACAGGGGTGGCAGAAAGACTGTCCGTTGAAGGATCTTGCAATTGCAGGCATCGCCACATGTCCTGGCTGCCGAAGGTGGCGTTCTGGCTGCGGGCAGGCTGGCAGCGAATGCCTTGAACTGCTACACAGAGGTCTGAAACGAAACTACAGGATGTCGCCACAGCCTGCTGCATGCCTGCAAACATCGCGGGTAAGGCCAGGCTGTTGAGCTGCATAGATAGTGCAAAAGTCACTTCAGAAATGAAAGCTGACATAGGGTTTGACCTGTTGTTATGCTGGCTCAAGTGTGACCAGTCTACCGTGAGTCTCCTGCGGTCACCTCAGCTTCTAGTAGCTCTGACGAGATAACTGTAACTACTAGGTGTCCGTATTGTCCGTCTTCGTCAGTTGCAGACGGGCCGCACTTCAGCCCTGCACATGCCACTGGCGCCTCCCATTTGATTATGCAATCAGTTCAAGTGCCACCCTGATGATGTTACTGTCATCGTACTGGTCTGTACTCCAGGCATTAGCTTCATGAACAAGTCGCGTCATACATCTACAATTTTGTTGTAGAGGTTGCTGTTTGCATCAGCAGATACTGATTTCATTTGTTGAGCATTCAGGCCCTTTCAGCCGTCGTCGTTTATTTGCCATGAGTTCTTAAAGATCTTGGAGTTTTGGGACGGCCCACCCACGTAAGATCATCTAATTCCACTGGGTGCTTTGTGGTTCGGTCGTTCTGGTCCAGGACATCACTGGCAGCATTTGCACAGCCCTTCGATGCTGGCGGGTCGCTACCCTGTCATTCACTGCTGGCGTATAAAGTTTCTTGATGGTTCCTGAGCAGTTGGTGCAACGAACGCAGCACTGAACGAAGCTGAGGTCTAGCATGGACGAAGAGGCTGGCTTTTTGGGATTCCTTCGCTGCCTTGAATTGCTTTGTTCTATGCATGTGTTTCCGGGATGTTTATAAGAGTGGCAAGTCAGAGTAAGATGAAGGTGTAGGTCGGGATGCTGAGTGAGTTCAAGGCGGTGAAATACTGTTATAGGCTCATGAAAATGATTTTCAGCACACATGTACCGTCGCCCGGATACTTTCAAAGCTGGCTTCCTGTGTTTCAGGTTACTTGGCTGCGACTGCATCAGTGGCAGCATCCTCGTGGCTTGTGCTGCCTGCAGATATCGTTCATCAGAACCTTTGAGGCTTCTGCTTCTGAACTCCAGTGATGATGCGGCTCCTTTCGCATTTGTCTCGTTAAAGCCGGTCCCTCAGCCAGCGGAAGAGAGCTGAGTCCATGCTTGGCGCCCCTGTGGCAAGGAAGGTGGCTCTTCTTCGAGCAGATGCCCGCGTGCTGCAGATGACTCTCGCACGCCTCGACCTTATTGAGGACCTGCCACCCATGTTCAAAAGTTTCTGGGGCAGGTCGAGTGGAAGGAGACTGGCCTTCGGAAGACGCCTCAGGAACAGAAGTCACGCTGCTTGTGTAGGGGAAAGCAGGAGCTCTTCGCCATGTCAGGTGCACTGTAGTTTAAGGGCGACGACGCTGCATGTATGTTCTGCATCCATAGGTGCAGAGACAGTGAGATGAGGTTGCAGTGGATGATGACTGGCTAGAGCACCTCATCTGCAGCTATTTTGCTTGAACCATCTTGCTGCTCCCCGTCAAACAATCCTCTTTAAAGTGGACAGCCAAGCGGCTCCGTAAAACGGTTTGGGCATTTCGCAGAGTGTTATTCGATACTGTGATACTGAAAATGTCTTTGAAATCTCTAGCTTGCTCGATTGTTTTTCAATACAAGGGGTGATTCATTTTGAGAAGGCTTGCTTGTTATGAAAGGTGCATGCGCCATGTCATGGTGTTTCGGCATAGGCGCTACTGCTGGAGGTAAGACAACAGGCCCACTCGATGCGAATTGTGTTGACATTGTATGTTTTCGTAAATAGCAGGGCCTGGACGTTTCGCAGAGATTCTAGATTTAAGGTTGTTTTGACGGAAACGCCATTGTGACAATGCAGGTTTCTCTATGGCTGCAGGGCTGCATGCCCTCCCCTCCATTCAGATCGTGCTGCCGTGTATCAACTCTTGCCCTTCATGACCTTCACTAGGCTTTGCCTCCTCCTCGGCGACGGACGATTTCAGGTATTGGAGGCGTGGTATCCGCACCTGTTTTCACGCGACACAGGAAGGAAGATAATGAGACACTGAGCATCAGTCAGGCACCTGAGTTGGTGATGAGGTGGAGCCTGAGAGAGAGCGGCCACTGTAGCCTAAATCCGTGGCCAAACTCTCGTGGTGCCCGAGGTTTGAAGATGAGGCTGACTTCCAGAACTGGGTCGCTGCCTCAAACTTGACCAAGCGGGGACCACATAATCCTTCGAGATGGATTTTACAAGCGTGCAAAGCCCAGGCTGGATACCTCAGGGAACTTTGCTGTCTGGGCCATGGAAAAGCATTGAAAGGAACTATGATGAACTGGGGTCCATCCTGCAGCGTTTGTGTGAAGCACCGGAGACGCAAAGCGGTTGTAAGACTACTCTTTTTTTGCAGGTGGTCATCCCATTATCGTGCCTGCGTGCTGAAGCTATCATGCTTGGTATATCATGTATATTCCTGGCAGATCTCAAGGTGAGGACCCCGAACGGCGCCGGGCGGCCCTGAAGGCGTTGAGACCTTTGAGGTTTGAGCTACAAACTGCACAATATAACTCAGCTGCAGGTTCCCCCTGTCATCGTGGCTGGTCACCCGCTTCCATAGGCCATTTCTTGTTGTCTTGTTGGCCTTGAAAATGATCCTTCACCTGTCACTGATGCAGGTTTAACACCCAGGGTCCGAATCATGGACCACCGCTCTTGGGTTTTGATTTCTTGTCTGTCTCACTCCTAGTTGATCAGCTACTGTTGAAAAGAACAGTGGCAAAACATCGATGACTACCGGCGTAGGCTTTGAGCCCGAAGCAGCGCAAAATTGTTGTTGCAAGCTCTTTGCTGCAAAGGCCATCGATCAAGCTCGCGTCCTTGCATCTTTGTCGGTTGTCCCGAAATCCTTAAAGAGCGGCTGGTTCAATTTGTGAACCAGTTTTGCCTCAACGAGAAAATTGCCGGGAATCTCTCGACAGCTATCTTGCAGTGACAGGTGTGGTGCCAACATTGGCAACGCGACACTGCAATCAAAGTCTGTTTCCAACAATCCCTCAGATCAGAGTGGGCATTATTAGGCAGCATCAGAACCAAATTGAGAATCGGCTTCTTGCTTTACATCTTCAACTCCTACTGATGCTTGCAGCGCTTGGCAACTCTTATCGGAAGAGAAGAAAACCGCCAAGGCAGCCTTGCTTTAGGCTGCCGCCCACCTATGTGCTGTGCTCTGTCACTGATGCATTTCGTGCTGGTCCTATGCGGCCTTGGTTCCCCTTGCGTTTCTGTTGGTGTTCGGGTGTTTTCTGGGCGGGGATGTTCAAGTGCGCGGTCGTCGAGCACGGTGGCAACCCAGCAGTATGTTATTGTGGAGTGGTCCGATGATACACATTTTTGTTTTTTTCCACAGATTCAAAAAGGATTCACGCACAAAGCCGTGCGGCCGCAGCAGGATATAGTCCCTCCAGCCTTGCCATGTGCGAACACTCAGCTGCCTGTAAGCCGCATCCAAGCCTGACATGTTCTGGCAGGGCGTTTATGTTTAAAGACTGCCACAACCCTTAGTGACGAATGCTGCTTCTGCCTTGCAGAACCGGTGCTAGCCTCTTCCCGGCCCAACCTTTCCAGAGGCCGAAGAACAATGCAAAACCAGGTCAAGAGGGTGGTGTGAAATTGTCTCTTCAAATCCAGCTGAAGTGACCTGGAATCTGCAGCATCTGGGCTTACGGGGCTTCTGTGCTCCTCCCAATGCGGTCGCATCAAGTTGCAGCCGGGGCCCAGCAAGCTCTTCTCTTCCCAGCTTCTAGTTGCTACTTGATGCGGTTCAAGTAGCTTTGTGCAGGTGACCGTCCATTGTGCAGGGATCCCAGGACAGTTCTCATTGATGTGATAGCGAGCTGAAACAGCAGGCTTGAAGTGGTAGGCTAATTAATCTCTAGCACCACAAAGGTACCAAAGCTGCTGCCCGTGCAGCAGGACGTGGCTTTTGGAATTTGGCGCCTGACTGTTGACCCGCATGCTTTTGGAAAGAGCTTTTGCATCGTGAAGCTGAAGGGCTGAAAATTTTCCCAGCACGCCGCGTCACCTAAGCCTCATCAGGATCCTGAAGGGGGCCTGCCACGACTGCTCGTTGGTGCGCGGAGCACTGAAAGGGCAGCCGGAGTCCAAAGGAAGTGATTGCAGTGCCATGGCTCCAACTATGTCCAGGAAGAGCAACCTTACTCCAAGGCGACTGCGCCCGAGGGCTCCTCCACACGCTCGCGGAGCCTTGAGGATGAGGCAATATGTGTAACGTCATGTAACATTTACGAGTCTTTGTGCCTGAGTGCATTCCAAGCATGTACAACCCTACGCTTCTGTTCATTTGATCATATCCAGGAACTCTTATGTGAGCCTGTGACCGTGAGCCACCTGAGTCCCCTGGTTGCAAGACTTCTTGACTTCGTGGAATGTTGCGGGCATGTTTTGCGCCATGTTTTGCAGACATAGACTTCAAGGTTTGAGGACGGGCTCCGCTTTTGAGAGAGCATTTTTTGCTGTGAGAGAGGATGTCTTTTGTGTGCAGATCAAATGAAATTATTGCAATCCCTCGTCTGGATTTTCCTACTCTATGCTGAAACCATTCACATCCCATTGGTGAACGTCAAGCTCCAAACCTGAAGTGGCTTCCTGAATTCCAGGGGGCTAGGCGGCTGTTTTTTCTGGCTTCCTGCCGATAGTCACTTTGGCGAAAAAACCGGAGTCGTGCTGAGACCCGCTGGTGTGACTCAAGTCAGACTTCGGTCTGGCGGCTCTCTTTTTTGCAACAAGCTCAGTCTCTTCAACGGACCAATGGCTCGAGATGCTGATTCCGTCGATCTACCGCCAGTTCTGAATTGTGATGCGCAGTTACTACGGGGTGCGTTCAAAAGTCGACTCGTCACATTTTTTTGCTAGCCAAGACGATCCGGGTTTGGTCGCTTGAGAGCAAGACCAGGAAAGCTTACGCTGCTCGCGTTTCAGCCGATTGATGGACGGAGAGGACTTGAAGTGGTACAGCACAAGATCTCGAAAATCCGGAAGGAAAAGCCGTTGATCGCGCACTGCGGATCAAACTTGCTCATACGACGCACATTGGAGCTGATCATGCAGGAGCTTAGGCTCACAGATAGAAGACCATCATCACCTACCAGAGGGCATATGTAACAATTTCGTTTCAATAACAGAAGTCGTGGATCATTTCGGACAGATCATGACCAAACGTTGTTGAGATTACCTTAAAGTCAACAAGGCACAGAACATGGGACCCATCTTGTTAGAGCGTGGATGCCCGGATAACATCAACCAGGACAGCCTCAAGCAACTAGCTACCCATCCCCCAAGCCCAGAAGAAGAACACGAAGAGGAGGAAGAACAGGCTGAAGGATGCCTGGTGCAAGTCAAGCAAGTCGAGGAAGAAAAGATCGGGAACGAGGTGAATGCTACGTTCGCAGCAATCAAGTGGATCAGTAAGAAGACTACGGGCTTCCTCCGTGGCTTTGGAGCGCAAATTGAAAGCAACCAATCTAGGCAGGGTGGCTGTGAAGGCCGGGGAGGACTTCAAGAGGCTGGCGCGGTGGCTGTAAGGGACGGATGGGCAAGTCAGTGACGCATTGAAAAGTATATGGGGTCGATAAAAAACATGTGCAGGGCCAGGCAGAAATAGATCAAAGACATCAGTATGCAACAAAAAGATTTGGGAATGCGACGTGGGGCCGAGGGAGCTTATGCAGACTACCATTGACGTCAGCCCTTCGAGTCCACATCTTGAAATGGACAAGAACTTAAAGTGTAACGGGGATCTGCATACGTCGCTCGTTCGCCTACAGGATGAAAAGGAAAATCAAACAAGAGCAAGGTGAGGGTTGGCACTTGTGTCCATCAACTTTCGGAATAACGTGGCCAGTGTGATGCAAATGGACATCCGACGCGCCGCAGCGGGCATTCGTGATCGCATGGAGGGCCTCTTTCGAACATGAGGGTGTCTAAGTTCAATTGGTGGGCAAGATGTAGCACACCATTGTGCAAGATAGATGTCGCAGGGAACTCGATCGATTGGATCGCGAATTGACCAGCAGGATCAGGCATGGAACGACGGGCGCAGTATGGTAAGACACTTCGTGCGGGAGTTCATGTGCAAACAGGGTTGTCAGATTCAAGAAAAGGCAAAGAAACTTAAGCAAGGGGCTGAAAGATGGCAAAGTACTTTAGGAGCAGATGGAAGAGAAAGCTGTCTGAAGACGGACATTCAAAAAAGAGCCATCGTGGCCGTTGAGAGGAACAGGAGATGTTGGCCAGAAGCGGAAGCGATACAGGAGTGTTTCATGAGTGAGGAGACTTTGCTAGAGATCGGCGGTGTGGGATGCGTGGACCCGAACGGTCAGGGACATGACAAGCTTGAGTCCGTGGACAGCAGCGATGTGCAGATGGAGGAGGTCGCGGAAAGGGTTATCCTGGATGTGACTAGGACGGTCGAAGGGCTGGCGGAGGTGCCAAGACCTCCAGTGAGGGACGTGGTGGAGGAGAAGTTCGAGCAAGGCCGACGGCACCTCCTGGATCCTCCTGGTCTAAAAGTGGTGGAACCGGAATCGGGAAGCGGACCGGGACAGGAATACAATGGAAATGGTGAAGCCGGTGCGGCGGTGACGTTGGCTGCAGGTGACCATGGCGGGATTGATGAGGTGCTTTTTGGTTCCGATGATGCTGAATTTGGAAATGCTGAGATGAGTGAAGGCGCAGCGTTGTCACTAGGGGTACAAGCTTGTAAGCCCCCATAAAAACGCTTCCCAAACCTTGAGTGCTACAGCGTGAAAGTTTGCGCCGCTAAAGCTAAAACCCACAGCCGAACCTCCCCTTCAATTTTCAAGCTTCTTGTCAAAGTTTCTCAGGTTTTGACCTATGCATCAGGATTTTCCCAAGCTTCTCCAAGTCTCAGCCGGTTTTCAGCCCCAAGCCCGTATCCTTACCAGTTTTTTCGCAACTCTGTGCTCACTCAGTAAATTTCAAAGCCCACCTAATTCATCTCCAATCATATATTGTCAGATTTCTCAAGCCTGCTTAATTTTCTCAAATCCCCACTTCACTTTCCTGCATCCCAGTGGCCAGCCTCAAGCCCGAAAACTCTGAACCCCCAAATTCAAAACCCTAAATCGCAAAAGCCTTACGCCCTGAGCCACAAAATCATAGAATTTAAACAATGAAAGCCCAAACCGATATCCTAAGGCCCACTTCATTCCTTCATTCAAACCCCTGCCCAAACTTCTCAAGTTCAGAATCAAATTCTCAGAGCCTTCAAATCCCGAATCAAGTGCCTCCAAGCTTTGACCAATTGCTTTAACTCATGCCCAGTTTCCTCAAATCGCTCTCCGACTCTCTAACTGGGTTGGCGTGAGGGGCCGGGAAAAGGACGTGCCTTGGATCAAAATTCCCTAGGCCGCGGCGGATGTCTCTAGTTTCCAGTAAAGTTATCTAGAATTGCGAATTCTAAGCTGCAAGCCTCCATCCCAACAACCCCAATTTTCAACCCCTTAATTTTTCCTGGTCGGTAAACGCTGAAGCTTCAAGCCAAAAACCTTTTGTTCAACCCAAGTCTCCAGTATGCGCATTTTTTTTTCTGTTTTGCAAATCCCCGATCCGTTTCTAAGAATCGTGCCTTAATCTTATGAATCTCCAACCAAGTCCACAAAACTCTACCAAGATTTTTACAATTCCCGGTAAGACTCGCAACATGCCCTTGATGATTTTCTGGAATCTGCAGGCAATTTCTCAAATCCCGAAGTTTTTGTTCTATCCTTCCCAGGGGACGTGCCTGCAGCAGAAGCCATCCAAAACATCACGAATCAAACTCAAGACATGTGCAGCGGTCTGCTGCAAAGCAGAACAGTCCAAGCCATTGTCAGCTTTATTTGCATGCTTGAGGCTCTGATTCTGGCATCCATTCTGAACCGCTGGAAGGCAGTACCTGGAAAGAAGCACACGCAGAGTGCGTCGATTGACAAAGCTCAGATGGCAGGACTGCGGCGGCCGGATGCTTCATACCGCCAAAACGTGCCGCTGTCCCCCTTGGTGCGGAGAAAAAGCCTCGTCACCAAACAGGCAAGGTTCGATTTACAGAGAGGCTGCAATGCAATGCTGCTGCTGCAAATCGCACGTGTGTCGCAGGAATTGGTAGCTTCATCGCCTCTGCTGCGACCCCCCCGATTGCCAGTGTCAAGAAGTAGCTCAGCATCCCGGCTTGCATTTACTTTTTCCGGAGGGATGCTCCTTTTGTTGTCACAGGGGTTGACGATCCCAGGCGCGATGGGGGATTTGCTCCTAGATACTGGCAAACTTAAAGTTTGCCACACTGGGCCAAGCAGGATCCAGATAAAAAAGGCCACTTGTATTCAAGTACGTAAGGGATTGTTGCTGATGCAACTGCAAAAGCACGGATACTCAGACGCAGCACAACAGACCATGCTAGGTGCCATTCAACATGCTCGCTGAGAAAAGTTAACGTATGTGACTGCAATGCCTGTGAAGCCTGTGACGGTCAGGTTGAGACTGACAAGTCCTTCGACAGTCGAGCGAAAGCGTCTCCGCCAGCATCTCAGCTCTGCGTGCGTCGGTTGAACCGTGTTGGGTGCATCGATGCATGTGCACAGCTTCTGATGTCTCTCTTTAGGCGGTTTTACAGTGCATAGCCAGCTTTTCAACCAGTCAGAAAAGCCAACTTAGCTTCAGTTCTACTCTGCTTTGGCAGTAGACATTCAGCCCACCTTTGAACAGCTGGAAAATCTGACAAAAGCCAACTCCTGCGGAGCTTTGTGGTGGCCGGCAAAGCAATCCCAACCTGTTCGCCGAATCTTGAAACCTTGTATGCCAGATTACCAGCATTCTTATCATAGAGTATCGAAAGGGAGCTTTCTGGCAAGTGTCCTGAGTTGCGGCAAGCTGCAAGTTGGGTACCGAGGAAAGGTGCGGCAAGCACTGGTAAACTAACGTTCAAGCGAGGATTGCAGACAGCAAATCTTACAGATGCCTGCCAAGGTCAGTTTCTCCAAGATCACCAGGCGCCAGCACAGCACGACTAAGCCATTCAGGGGGCTGTCAGAGCAGCAGCAGTAAGATTTGCCAGTAGAGACTTTATTCATGTTGCTATCTGAGTCTCGGCTGTCAGGCACTCAGCCGAATTCGGCAAGCGGTAGGGAACCCGGAGTTGGTGTACATGCTGTGAATATGTAACGGGCTAGGAACAGCATTCAAGACAGAGCTTTGCTGGACTAGCGGCTGATGCATGTTGATGGGCCATCAGTGTCATTGCAATTTCGCAGCATACTGACGAGGACCCCACGCTCTCTGGGAGGTTAGCAGCCAGAGTACGAACTTATTGTTCATGAACTTCTCCAATTTTCATGTTCATGTTCGCAAATACTTGGAACTGTAGTGCTTCTGCAGCTTTATCACAAGTCGAACTTCAAGTTGCAGGTATAGCATCATGGCAGCTGCCGACAGCAAACTGAGGTACAGATGATGAAAAGTCTCCGTGCCCAAGCATATCTGCTAGCAGCGTTGACACCGCGAGAACACATCCCCGTATTCAACTCAGACTTTTCAAATTTGCATGATTTGTCGGTATTTGCTGCACAGGCACAAGCACAGCTTGAGTCAGGTGTCGACCTGATCGTAGAGGAAGCGGATGAGGACATCAACCGGCCTTGGGGCACCGTGGAGCGAACCTTCAAAGCTTTCTGTGGAACCAAGCCAGGCGCTGTGGCACTTTGCTGGGTTTTGCTGTCTTTAACTGGAAGAAGCTGCTATTTCTGCGTTGCATCACGTTGGCAGGTATGGATGGGAAATCCTTCGCAAAGCTTTGCAAGGATCTGTTGCTTTCGAATGAGCATGCCTGTCCGTCCCGCAAAGAGTCAGGCTCACCTGATTCGTTTGCATTCTTTGACTTGCAGGACTCCTCCTTGGTAGATAGGAATCTTACCAAAACGGACGTTGACATCATCTTTGCCAAGGCGTGCAAGACTCTTGGCGGACTTTTTGTGTTTGTGTAAGATTTGTGTGAATGTCTGCTCTGTTGGGCAGCACGCAGCTGAAATGCACATCTGATCTGCACAGAGACCCAGGAAGGGACATCGGCGGATCGGGCTGGAGCAGTTTGATGCAGCCCTGGAGATGATAGCGGAGAAGAAATCGCTGACACTCGAACAAGTATGGTGCGCAGTAAGGCGCTGCAAAGACTTGCTTGGAAGTGCTTTCTTGCTCGTTCGCTGGCTTGTGGACTGCTTGTGGCTTGGCAGGTGTTGTGGCGGACCCGTCCTGAACAGCACGAAGACAGAAACAGTGCGGTTCCATGACGACAAGAGCCTCTACACTGGAACCCACGCACAGGGAGGGCCAGATCCTGGTCGAAAGGGAAAGGGAACGCTGCACTCATCTCAGTTGGCTGCCTTGTCTGCCTTGTGTCAATCTGAGGGGAGGTTGAAAAAAGGATGTGCCAGATGCGTTCTGAGGACATGGACAACAGCTCTACGTGATGAGCCGTCGCAAGCCAGCACACCGGTGCCAAGCTCTCCAAGGGATCCAGAATACTCCCGTGAAGAGCCGGAGAAGCGACCTCGATCCGTCAGCCTCAGCGAGAAAAAGATCTCTCAGCAGCTGCGAGGTAAAGGTGGCACTGTGGAGGCTGGGCTTTTTGCATGAAAAGGCATCTGCCAAAAATGCTGTTGCTAATGACCCTGCCAGCACGGGCGTCTCCTGTGAACTGCGATGTGATTTGTCTTGGATACCTGCTCGCAGTTTCTAGAATAACCCTGGCAGGATACGTTCAAGGCTTACTGCGCCAACAAGCCTGACATGGATGGGAAAGGGTTCGTGAAGTTGTGTAAAGACTGTGAGTTGGTGGACGAGTGTTTGACCCTGATCGATGCGGATCTGATTTTTGCGAAAGTGGTGTCCCGGGGGCACCGGCGAATCATTTTGCGTCAGTTCAAGGAGGCCCTTAGGTTGATTGCCGAGAGGAAAGGCATAGATGAGGAGGAGATCTGCCAGCGTGTTGCAGAATCAGAAGGAGTGGTCCACGAAGGAACCACTGCAGACTACGTGCGCTTCTTTGATGACAAGAGCACATACACGGGCACACATGTCTATGGAGGCCGCTTTCACAGATCAGCTAACCCTGCATTTGCACCGCATCCTTGAACATTTTAGAACTATCCATCTTGTGGTCTGTCGATTGCGCTATGCTGTGCTTCTTGTTGGCTTGGAGGTCCAGACAGTAGTGCTAGAACCAGCACAGACCAGTTCTGGAGCTCTATGCTGCGTCCTGATGGATATGAGGAGGACAGGCTCCCAGTGCCTTGGTGGAAAAGTTGCAGAAGCCACTGTCAGCACTTTGAGCAGTCCTGGCAGTGTGAACAGTCGACGAATGTGTACTGTGCACTTTGACATCCGGAAGCTACGGTGGAGAGAGGAAAGAGAGATCATCATCCTGACACCTTCAGGAAATGGTGGTGAGCAAGATATGTGAGACAAGTCAGCCAGGCTGGAGTGTTGATTTTCAGCGAACGAATGGCAACATGCGGCATGACGCTGGGGATGTCCACTCATTGTGTATGTCGTCGCAGTTCCTTCTGCTAAGCAGCATGCAGGGTAAGCAGCAGATGAGAGCGGTCCAGCCATGCTGCAGGAAGCAAAGCCAAATCCACTCCGGTGCAGCCCAAGGCCTGTCCTGCGTATCCGTGTTTTTTGCTGATTGATGCCTGGAGCTGCAAGATCCTCTAAGGCTAAACCTCGAGCTCGACTTGCGATCACAGCCAAGAGCAAGCCGCCGGCTGGGGACAGCAATGACTTCACCATGGTTTTTACAGATGTGCAAGGTGCACCCTCATGCAGGTCATGCTTATGGTCGCTTCATGCGCAAATGCTTTGCCTGGGAGGCTCTACATCGCTTTGGGAAGCAAACCCTCGTGCGATGGAGCTGGCTTTGAGACTGCACGATGCAACCATTCGGCAAGTCCTGGCAAAGCATAGTGGATATGAGGCCCAGATAAGCAAGAGGGCTTCACAGGTGGCCTATGCATTAGGAAGTTCGGAACTCAAGGGCTTGGGCTGGCAGGTGACCACAGAGGGAGATGCCTTTCAAATAGCCTTCCACGACACAGCGGACGCGGTGGCCTTCTGCCTTGACACACAGGCAGAGTTGCTGCGATGCGACTGGCCAGATGCGACCTTGTCGCATCCTGATGCGGCTGTCCCAGACCCAGCTAAAGCAGAGAATGCACAGGTTGTGATGATGTGGGTTTCTCCGGGACTGATGGCTTTGCACCATTCATGGCAGCCCAGGCCAGTAGTGATGGAGCCTGGCGTGGATTGCGTGTGCGCATGGGTTTGCACTCCGGCCGGCCGGCCTCTGTCACCAAGCACGAGGCTGGGGGGGGCTGGGGGCAGATGGGCTTTTCTGCAAGGCTCTTGCTTGAAGCTTCAGTTGAGCTGTTCCTGGCAGGTCACCGGGCGAACGAGATATGCAGGGCCGTCTGTTGCAATGGCTAAAGCTATAGAGGCAATGCGGAGCGAAGCAAGCACAGATTTTGATGGCATGAACCTGCCCCAAGTGCACGTGTGAACTTGCCTGCCAGGGCGTTTGTCATGGCGGGCAGATCATTATGTCTGCCAGCAGCTTCTATCTCATTGATGGTTTGCTGACTTTGCTTGGAAGTCCGCAGGCACCGGGGAATGGGCGATGAGACTGGCAGTTAGCTCCACGTAGCAACGCTTGCCGTGCTTGCAGGTTGTCGACTTGGGAGATCACATCTTGGAAGGGCATGGTCTGACAGAAGACTCTTCCCGAACTGGATGCTCTGGCCGTGCCAGAGTGCAGCTAATTCAGCTGGTGCCAGATGCACTTGCCCATGACTGGTCTGGTGCCTCGGCGGTGGGTTCATCAGATGCTTTTCGGTTCATGTGGGGCATGCGCCATTCTTGTTCCAGCATATTGGCATTCTATGTTTTGTGCCGGAAAAAGGGATTGCCGTTCAAGGCGAAGACCCCCTGGACAAGTCGACCCATGTAGGGGGACGGAAATTTCCTCCAGTGGTCAGCGAGCAACGTGTGTCTCCGGGATTCGAGGGCTCCCCTTCTGGGTGGCTCGGCAGCTTTGCCCTTCCTGCAATCTGAAAACATTGTATGTGGCAAGGATCAGTGTAGTGTGATTCAGAGATGTCCTAGGTCCTAGTTGGCACTTTGATGCTACTTGTAGCTGCCATCTGAGGACCTCTATTACGCTGTGCTTTGTTTTCACCCAGGGTGCCAGGGAGTTGGTTGCAACTGACCCCGGGCTGGCAGTGCGGTCGCTTGGGCTACTGTACGGCCCTTGGCCTTTGAAGAGGACTTGGCAGCGTGTTGCCTGCTAAGTCCTGCTCTGTGCATCCTGTTTGAGCTTGAGGCGTGGATGTTTACGTGAAGTTCTGTCACATGCTGGCGATGGCAGCGGCTATGAGTGCCAAGAAGATGAGGGCGCTTTCATGTTCTTCAGCTTCAAAAGTGAATTGTGGAACAAGGACCTAACGTCAGCTAGGTACCTTTGCTGTCGTCGCGAGATTGAGAACCAATGAACCATCTTCTAGCGGGCGTTGCCGCATCAAAGGAGCCCTGAAGCGGTAAGATCGGTAAGCATCCGTGGGTTTGCACTAAGTCGACGTTTGCATCATGTTCTGGTTGGCGACTTTTTTTTGACAGCGCATGTGAACGGTCACCAAGAGGGCTGCGAGCTTCAGGCCCTCTTCTAATCCCTGTCTAGAAAAGCTTCAGGTTGGCTTTTGGCAGCATGTTGGATGCGGCGGTCTTCTCCATTCTTCTGCAGCGGAAACTACTGCTGCTGCCATGGCCAGATGAGTTGAGAGAACGAGGACTTTTCAGAACAACATGATTCAGCTTCATGTTGAGCCACGCAAACCTGCTGTGCTATAAATGCTCCTTGCCACCAACCCAGAACACGCTACGCGGGTCAGGCTCAGTTGTTTTCCCGAGATGCTTATAAACGCCGCCCCTGCTGCGGTGGGACTTCTTCATTCTTTATGTTGATGGATGATGCACAAAGAGCGGGAAGGCGCTGTAACTGCCAAAGAGTATGGTTTCTTCGTGCCCTGACCCTGAAGGGCTTTTCTGCTTTACAGGGCCAACATCCACGGCAAGGCAGAGCATATCCAAGCATTTAGCATGCATGACTTGGAATCGGTCTTTGTCGCGTGCAAGTTATTGGTCGGTTCTGGGCCCCATGATTTGGCCGTCAACCTTTCAACACTAGAGCTTATTTCTGCGTTGTCCCACAACCCCTTTCTGCTGCCAAAGCAAACTTTTTTTCGTGGCGAGGCACCTAGAACACGTGCAAGGAAGGGTTCCAGAAAATTATATGTGGGTCGCTTACCCAAATCTACCTTGGTGTTCAAGCGCGGAGCTGTCTTGCCCACCTTCTTTTTGGGGCTCGAGATGTATTGCAGCATAGGCAGTAAGAGACGGGGTCCAACTGAGCAGAGCCAGCGATTTGCAGGAAGAAGCCACACAACATAAGATGCTTGCCTCCTGCAGCGCCTAACGTCAGACACCTGTCTAAAGTAGGGTCATGGTTCAGGACCAAATCACGCTCATGGCCTCCGGGTATCAATAGGAGATGCTTGGATGCACTGCTTGAAGCAAGTTGTGGGAAGTCTGAGGCTGTCCTTGTGAAAAGTCTTCAAAGTTGCAAAAAAAGTCGCTCAGGCACTGAGTGGTGCATACACATCCAGAAGACCACATGCCTCCACCGGGCGTGCCACCTCACGGCATTATTGCTGAGCTATGTTGGCTTGCTGTGCAAGTCAATCGCCTACTTTAATTTTCATGCTCAATGCTAGCTGAGGCAGATTATTTCGGCACGATTGTGAACCGGACTGCGCGCATAGCAGCCGCAGCACACCCTGGCCAGGTGAAATCAGCCAGGTTTTGGGAACACAAACGCTGATCAAATGAAGCCTGCAAGCTGTGTGAGTCTGTGTGTGACGCTTACGCCGCTATTACTTGGCAACTGAAGCGACCAATGGATTCATCACTGTTTGCCAGGTTCTTTTGGGCGGAGAGATGCCACTCGATGCTGCCGCCCTGAAACGACTGCCAGGCGTTCAGTGGCAGCAGCCGGCGCCCCTGCCAGGCCGAACCGCGGGGCATTTCCAAATGTACTTGTATCCGGCCTGGGTGCAGAGATTGAGTGGCCTCGTCTTTCCTGATCTTTTGAAAGGCTATCCTCAGATGATTCCACAGCCAATTCCTCAACAAGCTGTTCTAGGGCAGCCTATCCCAGCTGCCTACGCGCCATCGCCTATGCATTTTGACTGCAGCATGAGTTTTCTTGGGCGCCTGGTTGTCCAAGCATCTTGGTCCAGGTCCCCACCAGTGGTCATGCCAAGCATCCCTGGGCAGACTCAGCAGCCGATGCCACAGGTCTCGGGTGCAGGCCAGCTTCTGTCCAGCTTCTGTTGGCTTTTGAGAAAATTTGGGTTTAGCAGACCTGCGGGACGTGCCTTTCTTTTGGTATCCCTGAGGATGGTCGCTGCCGCGTCTGGGCGCCTATGCTCTGAAGGCTTCTTGTACAACTGCATGGCACCAGAGACCAGTTCCGGCAGTGCTCTCTCCTTCATGCAACCGTGCTATAACCCTTGACTAGGTTAGGGGATTCTCAGGGCCTTGGCATAAGGGAAAATTTGAAAAGACCGGCCGCTGGGCTAGCCATGACCCTTGATTAAGCATCTCACTTGCCACGCGAATGCTGTGCCAGGGCATCGACAGCCCCATCGTCTTGAACGAGCTGCGCCTATTTGATGATAGAGGCTCCATGTCTCTGTGGGGGCACCCTGGGAATTTGACCCGATGTTGCCGCCTTCCAGCACTGCACCAATGAAAAGACAGTTTTGGTGAGTGTCCTGTAAGACCCAGTGAGCAGTCATGACCCTGGGGTGGCAGGGGACGCGCTTTGAGTAAAGATTGCTACGTTCTGATGCTGATGATTCCCCCTCTAACAGGGGTCTTGAGGCGTCCTTGGGTAGTTTTACACCCGCCAGGCAAAGCTAATCACATAGGAAAGGGGACCTGGTGTGCTTTCCTCTGCGCTTATCCACTACGCATCACTAGACACAAACACCATCGAGTGCACATTTTGCGGTTCCTGTTGCAAGATCTAGTTGCTTGCTACCTGCATCTTGTGTTTGGTAGGCTTGCGTTCTCTTCCCGTGAGTGCAAGTAGTTCCTTCTTTTGCGGCTTAGACGATTGTTCGAGAAAGTTTGTTGCCATTGCATGCTGTATGTCGACATCCTGTGCGTCAGCATTGCAGGACGGGAGAGTCCCTCAGTCCGTTTGCTGATGCGAAAAATGTACTTCATCTGCTTGCCGCTGTCAGTGTCTGGTGGCTCTTTGATTCCTCAATGCTCTCTATACTCGTACCATCTTGTACCTAGTCCTCCCGATTCACGCAGGGAGGCTCCCCTGTGTAAACACAAGACGTCGACCGGATTCTGACGTTCAAAGTAAGTACTGTGCGCTCCGATCGTGCTATTCTGTTTGGGTTGAAACTTCTACAAGTAGCATTCGTAAAGCTCAATGACGTGACTCTTTTTGGCACCACTGCTGTTCTTGATGCTCCGGTGCTCAGATACCTGGCACAAACCTTCATGGCATTAATGCTTGGGGTTGGAGCATCTATGAGCTGCTCGCATCCTGGCGAAGCGCAGCATTCGTAACTTCCATTTGCTTTCCAGCAGGCAGGTCTCTGGCAGGTGGCGGAGCAGTTGCATGTTGCACTGATGGCCTTCTCAGCTCTAGGGAGGCGCTTATCAGAGCCTTGCAGACCTGCCTCCACAGACCTTGCCAGGGCTTGCAATTCCAGAGCCCCAGGCAGAGGAGCCCAGTGCTTGGGTCACCGATCGCAAAGCGGCCAACGGGGCTGCATATGTTTTGATCAGGCTCAAATGAAGCTGCTACTGCTGATAAAGCATTCTGACTGAACATGTGCAGGAGACTATCCTTTGTCCTCTCGAACCTCTGTGTCCCAAACTCCTGCTGCCCACAGCGCTATTGGCATTCCTCAATTTTTCGCATCTGCCTCATCAGAGCGACCCAAGTGGCCAGTCAACTCCTCCGCATGGTTTATCTCCCTGCTCCAAGTCAGTCGCCTTGGCCACCTTGGATGTCTGAGCAATGAACGCTCAGAGAGGAGGCGACGATGACGTGGCCCGAAAGGGTACAGGCGGTTGCCGTCAGGGCCTCTGGCATCTAGAAAGGTTTCCAGCAAAGTTTAAAGGATCACTACAAAACTGGGGGTAGGGTTGAGTTCTGCATATACATGTACATCTAACAATGTCGTGCAGACCGACGAATACTTGCAGCAATTCTGTTTGTACCTTGGCGTTTCAATGGCCCGCAACAACTCTCTCCATCTTGCAATGTTCAGACTGCGCAAGTCTCTTCTTTTATGGGGAACCTTTCCAATTTCGAGACGTCCAACTCTTCCAGGTGTCCTGCAAGCACTGCTTCTCTCTCCTCCAAAAAGGTCGAGATGTTTTTAGAATCTTCTTTGTGAATACAATTTCTTTGCAATCAAGTTGCTTTTGAATGACCTTAATTGTAAATCCAACATTCCTTGGATGGCGGGATGCGGTTCCTGCTCCTTTCAGCCCAGCTACTTCGCTCCGAGCCTTTTCTTTTTTTCCTAAAAACAGATCAAACATGTACTGATGGACGTCAAACGTGCATCTGCTACATTCCATTCAGCAGTGCCCCTTGCTAGTTGCCTGCCTGCAGTAGGGATTTGCCGTGAGGCGTGTTTGGGCAGATCATCGGACTTAGTAGTTTCATGTTGGTCCCTGACTTATCCCTGTCGCTGTCGCAGGCTTCAGCGAGACATTCCCTGAGCCAAAAACAAAAGGACGCGTGTCGAATTGATGGCGTTTTAGGCCAGTGGTAGCTGGTGTCAACACTATTTCCGCATGCTGCAATAAGTTTTCTTACATGCTTGAATGTCGGCCGCATCTTTGAACTACAGTGCTGCGGCTGCGAACTACCGGCCAGCACGAAGTGCCAGCACTGATGCGTTGCCTTGCCAGCCAGGTGTACAGACATAGCTTGACCAGGAAGTGATGTGCATTCTGCAACCAGGTCTGTAGAATAGGTTTGATGGCTGATAGCCTCCTAGACTGAGCAGTAGACGAGCAAATGCTTCTAGCAGCAGATATGCACGAGTGCATGTGCTTCAGTAATTTCATCTTAGCTTTCACGGGCGACGGGCATCTCCCAGAATTGGGATGCTGATGTCCAACTGCCGGGATACACATTTTCACAACGCAACCACCACGCAGCTTTAAGGGCAAGTGCGGTGAGAGATCACAAGTATCCCTGGCCGTGTCTCAAGAGCCTGTTAATCAACACACTTCTAGTTTGATTGCTTTCTGCTTGGGAAGAAGCGTTTGTTCGGCTAAGTGCTCTCAGATTGACTAGTGCTGCTTGTGTATGAAGTTGGGATGTGGGGACAGGACTGTGCTTGCTTGCATGGGCACCAGAAGATGTCGTGGCCTTTCCAAAGTCAGGAGACTTGGAGCTTCTTTTTCCGTGCCGCACGAGACGGCATTCAGAACATGCTTGAAGCATAGGCAGCTCATTCAGTCAACGGGATGGCTTCTGTCATGGTACAGCTTCATTAGCTTTTTCAACATTTTAAGTAGCGGTCGCTATTTCAGCAGCCAGTGGAGATGGGAGCCACCTAGGTGTTACAGGATAGGCAGTGTCTTCAGCTGCGTCAGACACGGAGTGTCAAAGCACCTGACGGACCTCAAGAACACTGGCCAGAGTGCGGTTATGCCAGTGCCAACAGCAAGTTGGTCTCGTTTGGTCAAGTCTGGTGATTGTTCACTTCATTAGCTCCACACCACGTTTGTCCGAGCGCTGCAGGATCTATGGCAGTTTTAAGTTTTCCGCAGTTTGAAAGCTCTCGGGGTTAATTTGTCTAGCTCCAATGTTTTGCACTTGCGAAATTAAAAAGGTTTAGTGCAGCAGACGCTTGGGCTGCGCATGCACCGAAGGTGAGGCGTACAGTGGCTAAGCAGGGCTGCAGATGCCTGCGACGGAAAAGGCAAAGCATTGCTTCGGTCTGAGTTTCCTGAAGCCAGAGGTGTCTGGTTTTGCAGGGTTTCTGCGTGCTGAGGGTAAACACACGCACGCACTCAAACGAATTTGAGTTGAAGGGGTCGCCCCCGTCTGCTTCAAGGCAGCATTCAAGCCTGGCAAGGAATTTGCTTGCCCTTCAATATGTCCATGTTGCATCCATCAGTCTTCAGAATAGTCTAATATCACCATAGTGTATGGATCACCAAGCACAGCTTTCTACAAGGGCACTAGTGGAAATCAATGCGCAGCGAGTATGAGTATGAATAGCAAGAATAATGATGAGCAGGTACGTCAGCTCGGCGTCCCAAGCTGATTTCGCAGATAAGCAGGAGGGTTTTCGTTGGTGCCAGCCTTCTGCGATCCCCTGGCACCCCCTGCAAGCTACTCGATCTAACATCAAGTTCAGACATGCAAGGTTCCTACATCCTTGGAATTTCGGAGTCCCCACACCCACACACCCACCCACACACACACACACACACACACGCGCGCGCGCGCACACACACACACACACTTGATTTGGTTAAATGAAAATTGGAACTGATTGAAGCTCAATTTTCTCCAAGGAACTAAAGCGAAAAA